TGCAATTGGCTTCGCCATCACGTTCCCATCGTGGTTTTCACGTTGATCCGTGCAGGCCTCTCCCATTAGCCCCTGGAAAGGTCAGAGGTCGTGACGAAGACAGGCATTCCCCGGCCAGGCATGGAGGCCAGACGGGCGCAGCCCCTGTGGTCTCGGCTGATTTCCTAGAAGACCGCGGCCATGGTTGGGTGTGAGCTCCTGGCTGCCTGCAGGTTCTCGCCGGCCTTCACTGAGGATGGTGTTTCTCGGGGCCAGGACGGGTCGGCGCTTCCTGCTCCGCGTGCTGCCTGCCCATCATGGAAGTTACGGGAGGGAGGCTGTTAGAGCAGCCGAGGCCACAGTGCCCCCCCACCCCCATGAGTGTGGAGAGAAATCAGGAAGAGAAAGAGCCAAAGAGCTGGCGAGGCAGCGCCAACGGGATTCACCTGAGCTGAATGGGTCTCTGGACCCTTTTCCTTTCTCAGGAAAAATAAACCCTTCCCACTGTTTGGACACAGACCCTTTGGATGGCTCCCTGACCTAGTGCCTGCTCCCGATCACTTACTGTCACAACCTCAGTGCCCACAGACCCTCCTCCCGCCATCACTCAGGGTGGCGGGAATGTGGCTCAGAACGCGATTTCGGGGGCGGCATGCGATGCTGAGCGTGGGAAAGGCAGACAAGCCCCTCCCGTGGGCCCTGCCCACCCCCATGCACGCCTGCGCCTGCCTGCGCACAGCTCACAGAGCAGCCAGAGCAGCTGAGCCGCGGCCTCGCAGTCCCTTCCGGGCCCTGAGGTCCGAGGTGCACGGAGCTTCCTCAGGTCAGCAGACCCTGTTGCAGAAAAGTCATGCCAGACACCGTGGGTGCCCCACTCCCGGACGTGAAGGGGACTCCCCACTCCTGGGAGAACCTGCTCCAGCTGCGCAGGGGGAGCAGCAGGCCTGTGGGGCGCCGGCCTCGGTGCAGATGTTACACATACAGTGCTGACTGCATTGTGGTGGTTTCTGCTGCTCTCTTTCGGGGTGGGAGGCTGTAACAACCTTATTGGATACTAGAGGCCCAGTGCACAAATTCGTGCACCAGTGGGGTCCCTCGGCCTGGCTTATGGGATTGAGCCGAAACCGGCTCTCTGACATCCCCCAGGGGTTCCGGATTGCGAGAGGGTGCAGGCCAAACAATCTGGGACCCCTGGCTCCTAACTGCACACCTGCCTGCCTGCCTGCCTGCCTGATTGCCCCTAACCACTCAGCCTGCTCGCCCCCAGCTGCCCCCCTGCCAACCTGATTGCCCCCCAACTGCTCCTCACTGCTGGCCTGCTCACCCCCTACTGCCCCCCCCCCC